TTAATCCTTACTCTCTCTCTCTCTCTTCCCTTTCTTTCTAACCTTTTTGTTATTTCTCTGTGTCACGTAAAGATAACCAAAAAGCAAAAGCATGGAGGAGAAGATATAATTAAAAAAGAAGAAACAGAAGGCGAGAGGGAGGACCTGAATGAGGTGGTGTCATAAGAGAGAGAAGCACCCAACAAGAAGCAGAACTGCACAGTCATTCCAAACCACCACAGCAAGAAAACTTGTTTCCTTACGATCTCACCTACCCTCCTCTTCATCTTCTTCTTCCAAAACCAAACCTGCAAAACAAAAGCTGCCAGAGGAAGAAGAGAAGAAGAAAAGCATGGCATTATGATTATGGGCACTGATATTAATTAATACTGTCAAATAACCAAAAGAAAGGGACTAAACAAACAAGACCCGGCAGGAGAATCCCAGTTATTTTCTGACGAGCATCCACTAACCTTGATAATTATCAATGCAGACAAGGTTTCTGCTGGGAGATACAGCTAAACATAGAAGACGAAAGACCAATAGTGTCCTTTTACGATCTCTCCCTCTCTCCCCCTCTCTCTCTCTCTCTCTCGGTTTCTCTTCGTTACTACTAAATTCTCTTGGAAATCTTAATGGGTAGGTACCTTCAGAAAACGTGCACGCATTTGCATAATGCTAAGCGAATGGGCTTTATATATAACAGCAATAACCACCCCAGCTTCTTTTCGAGGTTACCACTTTTCAAAAGTTTTACTTTCCTCATTCTTTAATTATTTGTTAATTACAGTGCTTTTTTTTAAAAAAATTTCTGTGATATTTTGACATAGCTGCTCAATAATGAATGTGCTGGAAAACATCATCCCCTCGGTTTTCATGATTTCACGTTCACACGACAATAATTTTTCCTTCGGCTTGGGACAAGGTCCATACTCACTCTTAATTTGAATCTTTTCATGCTTTCTCTCGACACATAATTTTCATAGGCAATTATCCCATCCCCTATTTAATTATATGTGCATTTATTATTATCACTTAAATGTTTTAGGAAAAAAGAAGATAATCATGCCTCTTTATATGATAATAATTAAATGAATAGTTATGTAATTTATAATCAAAATTAGCTATGTCACGCTCTTAAATTAAAAGTCGGGATTGGATCCATATTGAGAAAAAGTACGAAGAGATTATCCTACTTGAAGGGTATAATAGTCATATTAGCGCAAAACTCAGGGGCAGAATTGGGAAAGAGCAAGTATCACGTGACCAAATAATAAGATTTGCAATTGAAAAAATTATGATTTTATTTTTTATTTTTTTGACGAGATTTTGTGGGATAAGGCCAAAATTTGACAATATTCAGATTAACAAAATATTGACTTAATAACAAAGAGAAATCCGTTCGGTTAATGAAGTAGTTTGTGCTGTTATACCAAAGGTTGACAAAATCCAAGACCATATATATATATATATATATATATATATATATAGATCTATAATACTTGCCCCTTTGAGGACTTTGAAATACTAATCAGTAATCATTATGACTTAATCCTAAAATGGATGTGTTCGGTATTCACATTATCTGCGGCGTTAGGAATTCATACTCATAAATTTACATGCTCTGTTGAATTTGAATAGTCTATCTATATATATGTGAAACACAAATCATTATTTTATATTGAAAATTCAAACTAGTCTACGAGCAAGCTCAGATCTTTAGGTTGTGCCCGCGGTTTAGACAGATATAAGTTTTTGTTCGGTACGTTTGGCCTGCAATATATTAAAAGAGGAAAAGAATAGGTGGGACGGTATAGGAAATAGAAAAAAGGCAATAATACTTATATGTGCTGAAAAGTATAGTATAATTAAAAGAAATCAATATTTATTAAATAATAATAATATGTTTGGGCCTATAAATAATAAATCCAATAATTCTCTTCTGACCAACATGGTCTCAATTCTCAAACGCAAAGTTAAAAAAGGAATCCTGTGCATGTCATTAATAGCTTGACCGGTGATATTAGAATAATTTATCTTTGTTATTTTAAAAGTCAAAAGAAGAAAATTCGTCAGTTTCTTTTATTATTAGAATATAGATTTTTTTGACCAGGATTATTATTAGACTAAAGAAAGTCAATAGCTAAGTTCGATAGATGAACAAAATTTTAGGTATTAGTCGTTTGTTCTCATTAAAGTTAAGATAACTCTCATGATTCAAAAAATAATTACAACGATAATTACAAATTATCACTCTTTTTCCATTACATTACGAATTATCACTCTCATCCGATTTATAAGGGAGATCGTAGAATATTTTTCTTGTTGCTTTTTTATATAAGGCATGTCATTAATTTTTTATCGCTAGTTTCCTTTTTGTCGGTAATTAAATGTTGGTATATGCTATCTAATTTTAAAAGCATATATATATATTTAATAGTGACGAGATTAAAAAAATAAAAGTACTAATGAATTTTAAGTTTTTTTTTTGTTAGTTTTGATGAAATATGTTAAAAGTAACTTATAATAAGAATTAGGAGTAGTAATATGTTATTTGTTCTAATCATATTTTTTGTAATGCTAAGTGCATGATATATATTTCAAGTGAGTCAGAGTTTCTAAAATATTAAACAAGATTAAGCTAGCTAGATTTACTCCCCCCACCCCTCCTTCATCAATAACTAGAGAAATATAAATTTTGCTTCATGGACTTTTTCTCAATTATCAATCCAATTAATCCTTCTCAAAATAATGATTTAGTTTCTATAATTTTTTGTTATACCAAACTAGAAAGACTTAGTTATTTTGAGTCAGAATTTAAAGATTGAATTGATAAATTTTTTTATAAAAAAAAAAAAGTCCCTACGTGCACACACACAGGCCCCCCGGGAAAATAATTGTTTGAAGCTTGAACATTCAGAAAAATTAACTGATGGTGGAACCGCCCCATACAAAGTTGGCAACCGAAACCACGGCCAGTTTTATTGATTATTGATAATTGAGGCAACATCCACGACATTCATAGGTGGACATTGTTTACCAACAAATTAAATAGATTAATAGGACCCCACCCCCTGACATATACTACCTCTAGTCTTTAATGTAAGAATTAATTGACTAATTTAAGGAGATTAAAAAATTTTATTAAGTTAGTTATTTCTAATAATTAGATGTTGTTTTCTTTAAAATACTCTTAATAATCATATGTATTAGCTAGAAACACAATTTGATAGAACATTTAACATGTGCAATCACTATAAGAATTATTTTTAAAAAATAAATAAATATAGGAGATAAAGTAAATTGAAGTCTTATATTTAGGATTAAAATTGAAAGTCAAGCTAGTTCTTATATTAAAGATAGAAGGCAGTACTTTGTCAACATCATTTCTCTACTCTTGAACCACTACTTTCTGCTCTCCCTTTTTCTATTATTGTTGTTTTTCTTCACCTAGGAGCCTGCGTGCCCTTCCTCTATTTTTATTATTATTATTATTATACTACATTATTCACCAGAGTCTCTAGGGAGCTGGACCACATGTACACAAAAGTTGGACACCAGCTTTGCATTTTCCTTTTCCATGATTTTTTTAGTTCATTTGGGAACTTAATCGGCTCAAGCATTTAATTTGTTGTTCAGAAGAACATTTGTTATTCCGCTAGATTCGATGTGGTTGACATGTGCTCAGCATTTAAAAAAACCTCTCGCCATTTTAGAGTTAACCCATACGTCAGAGTTTTAATTTTTGTTTCAGATAATGGATAAGGTCCTCTTCTTAATTAGGCCACCCCCACATTGTCAAAAAGTTGTCTCTTTTTATTTATTTGTTGCTGTGATTCCATGTTGTTTCTGATTGTTTTTTGTACGTTTCTACTAATGCGTAGCTTGGAATATTCTGGTAAATGGCAGAGAGCTCGTGTCTGTTTTCTAGTAAGATGGAAATGGATGAAGGAAAAAAAGAATCATTCTTTGATGTTTAATGTGACTCGAGAGAGATAATATTAACAGACCTGTCACAGTCTTTAAAAAAAAATTGAAGATTCGTAAGTAATTAAACGAGTTAATGACAATTCGTTTACATTTGGCCTAACATATCATGCAACTTGCATTGCTGCAAAATGAAGGAACAAAAGCCCGTACGTCAAGCAACTTTGGCCAACGATAAAAGTAGTGTTCTTTTAGTTCCATCCCCATTTTTCGGAGAATTTTTTGTTTGAAAAAAAAATATTCAAATGCAATCTCAGGCTAGATTCTTAACTTAATTTCCAAATCATAACTAATCCACTCATAGGTTAAGTTATTCAATTCATTAGGCAAAAGAGTGAGAATTTTTACATATGATCAGGTTTTAGACTACTTGTGAGAGCCATACTCTTTTCACCGTTCATTAATTAGTAATAATATTGTATGCTTGAGGCGTATGCCAAAGTATCTGAAAAGCACTAATTAGCATATTTGTGAACTTGGACTTCAAATTCCCCGAAAGTCTACGAGAAGAGTGTTAAAAGGGGTAGAGAATATTTATAAATTTCATATCATAACTGGAACTTCTAAAATTGATATTATGTTCCACTGACTTCTTTTCATCAATGAACAATAACTGAAATTTGTTTAATTGAAACTGAATTCCAATGTTGTTGGCGGCCCATATGTCGACTGTTGAGCCCAGGTCCATTATGCATTGTGCCTTGAATTCATCGTCTCTTTAACTGTTCCATTCCTTTTCTTAATTAATCATGATTGTCAAGATAATCATCAATATTTAATACTGCTCCGCTCCTAAATATGAGACTTTTTTTGTAGTATAAATTACACTATAAAAAGAGTCTTATATTTAGAATCGGAGAAATATCATTTTTTTGGGAAAAAAATTACGGGGAGCCACACTAATTACAAACTCTTTCGCTTTTGAAAACGAAAATTTACAGTGTTCCATATGGAGAAGTAGAAGAGTTCCAACCAACCATTCAAAGGTATTATGGAGGTTAGATATAAACAGTATAAATCTTAAGTACAAGAGTTATCATCAGTCATCATTGTGCTAGCAAGAGGGACTTTCTGGATCCTCCTGATACTGTTGAGTACGAGGATGATCCTTTGGTTGATGCAGTGGGCCCAGACGATGTGTATGAGAATCTGCACATTTCCATGGGAGGAGCATAATACATAGCAACTGGAAGCTTGGGAGGAAGACTTGGAAAAGCACCTTCAAAATTGAGCACATTTATGACTTGTCTTATGGAAGGTCTCATCCTTTGATCAGGATGGCAACACCATAACCCTACAATCATCAAGCACTCCATTTGTCTCTCATCATATTCCATGTTTAGATTCTTATCAGCAGCTTCTAGAAGCGTCCCTTTTCCGTATAGGTCCCACACCCACTCCACCATTCTTACCTTGCCTGGTTCTTCAGCTCTTATTTCAATGGGTCTTCTTCCACATGCGATCTCTAGGGCCACTACCCCAAAGCTATAAAGATCAGATTCCTTACTTGCTTTTCCTGTGGTTACACATTCTGGGGCTAGGTACCCCATTGTGCCTGCTAGAACTGTAGTTTGAGACCCAAGTTCATGGTCAACTAGCCTTGCAAGACCAAAATCACCTAGTTTTGCATTGAAATTTGCGTCTAACATGACATTACTTGACTTAATATCTCTGTGGACTACACATTGTTCCCATTCTTCATGAAGATACAGGAGAGAAGAAGCCAGACCCAAGGCTATCTTGTACCTTACTGTCCAAGTAAGCGGGGTTTTGTTTCCAAACAGGTGGGAATCCAGACTTCCATTAGGCATGAATTCATAAACAAGAAGGAACTCACCTTGTTCATGGCACCACCCAAAGAGTTGGACTAAGTTTCTGTGTCTCAACCTGCTGATGATTCTCACTTCTGATACGTATTCTTTTTTCCCCTGTTTTGATCCTTTTGAAACTCTCTTCACAGCCACTTGTAGGTTTTCGTTTGTGAGAAGACCTTTGTAAACACCTCCAAATCCTCCTTCTCCTAGCTTTCCTGCTTCAGAAAAATCATTTGTTGCTTGACTCAGTTGCTGGTAGGTGAATCTCTTCGGTCCTGTTCCTTTCTCAAATTCATCATCAATGGAAGCTTCCAAGCCTTTACCTTCTACTTCCTTCTTCCTGTAATGTTTCTTTCTCCAAATGGCGAACCATAACAATCCAGCAGCACAAATAAGAGAACCAAGACCGACACCTAAACTAGCCCCCAAAACAACCTTGTTGTTTTTCCCAACCTTATCATCACCTTCCAAGCTTGAATTGAATGACCAAGACAGGATTTTGTGTAATTCAACCCAATAACCTGTAGAAGCAGAAAATCCAACACAGACCCATTCTGGCAAAACTTCCCTCAAATCAATGATGTACCAAACGCTAGAATTACCCATATAAACTGGATCATCAGCATAAGTAAGGAACACACTCAGATTTTTTGTGGTAGAATTATATTCTATCCAAGCATTAGCTTTTCTCCCCTGCTTCATGCTACTCCTCCAGGAAACATTCGCAACTGATACAATGGAATTCACATTGATTCCGACATGGTCCGAGCTTGGATCCCACGTGTTGTTAAAGCTGTCGAACTCAACCGCAACTATGGAATTATTGGTATCATCGAATGCAGATTCTGGACTGAAGAGACCAAGGTACCCACCAGTTGAATTGTGTGGGATTTCAGATTGGAAAGGCGAAAGGAAGAAGGATATCCCATCACCGAATTGTGTGGGAGCAACGGCTTTCATGATAAAGGTAAAATGGGTGGTGAAGTCTGTGAGCTTCCCAGTTGTTCGATCCCAAACACGAACCGGTTCAGCATATGAAGCCCGACCAACACTGCTTGTGATGGGGCCATCGAGTCGGTTCTTTGTGAGCTGAAGAGCATCATCCGACGAGAAGGCATCACCTTGGAAGTGTATTAGGTTCATGTTGGGTTGGAATTTGGTGAAGTTAAAGAAAGCTGAGTGCACAGTGCCCAGGACTGACAAGAACAACACGAAGAACATGAAGAAGACAGAAGCGGAGGATGCCATTGCTGAAAGCACAGAGGAGGAAAGTAGTAATAATGGACGAAGTGGCCAAGGAATGGCTCAGCTATATGCGACGAATTATGATTCAGAGATTGATGATTAAATTAATGAGATTGATCATCTTTTATATTGGGAGGTCCACCAAATTAAGAAATGTGGTTACTTTCACTATGCCGCCTTCGAGCAGTGACATAGGATGCACATAAAGAAACGGAGAATTGCCAGTGGGAGAAGTTTCATTATGTCATGAACCTTTGACCTGATATGTTCGAGATTATGAAATCTATTAAAGTTGTTTCGTTTTCATCTTCTCCACTTGGGGGTTTACGAGTAAGCTCGCCAGAGGATACGGGAAAGGACAAACACCTGAAGTGATCGTAATTCGACATGTTAACTCGTCATTTGCTACGCTTTCAAAGTTAGCCTCGTGTTTTGCTTTCAGAATTTTCTATCCTTTTCTTTTGACCTGCCCTTGTTACGAGGGATCTAATCATCTAATACATTTGTTTCTTGGTCGAATGATCTGAGACAAATCAAGTTGTAAAAAGATTTCTCCAAAATGAATAATTGAATACTATATGTATGTGTGTGTGTGTATATATATATATTTATGATATTGATCAATTGATTTGTTCACTCCACCAAAATTACACCTTCTTACATTTTAGTAATTGATTTGTTGAATCCTCTTTTTATACTATTATTTTTGAGGAAAAATTGCCCATAAATACCTGTTTGAGGGTTAATTTCCCATCCATATTGAAATCTTAAAAAAGTATTAGGTTTTTCAGAACATCGGTCCAAAAACGTATAATGTTCAATTCAAGAACCATCGGGTAATTAATTCTCCAAATAAGTATTTGTGTAAATTTTTAATGTTTTTTTAATTCTAATGAATTATATTTGAGTATTTTTAAATTCAGTTGAAAATAGTTCTTCTAATATGATTTAAATTCTTACATTCACAAAGTTTAAACCTTAATGAACTTTAGTAAAAGAAAATCAATTTCCTCCTGCTAACCTCAATCATCATTTAATAATAAGTAGATTTAAATTTAAATTACTACTGATGTAGGGCAGTGACTAAATCATTTTTGTCTTTCTCTAACAAAGCTACCAAAATTTTGTTAAGTTTTTGATTTGTTCATGAATGAAATTGATATTATTCTTCAGATATTTTGATAACTTTAAATTTAAATTTACATATCTTTATATCATAAACGCAAAACCATCTGATTAATTCGGACATATTTTATATGTAGGAGAAAATATTAATTTATGTTGATATAATATAAGAGTCTTGAGTTAGTTGGTTTGGCCAATTCAAACGGCCGGCCGGCACCTTTATCTTTTGCATAGGATTTTATATATATTAGACAGATAATTATAATCGTATATGCGAGAAGAAAACATAAGTAGACAGGAATATAGGACAATAATAACGGGTCAAAACTATCCCCTGCGTCGAAAAAACAAATAGGTTGAGACAGACACAAGCCATGCAAGAAAGAACACCAGTGCCGGCTTTCTTCTTGGAACAATCCTTGTACCATCCTACTTCCAGTTCTAAATATAATATAAAAGCTAGTTAAACATTTAATTACATACTAAATATAACACTTCGATCTACTTTATTTATTATATTTATCTTTTGTAAAAATAACTAGGAAAAATGGCAAAAAAAGACCGCCGAAATAGAAAAATTGCATACAGGGACTGGTTTGTAAAAATTGTTATCAAAACCCATACAAATGTTGTCAGGAGTTCTTATTTGCAATTTTTCTATTTTGACTGTCTTTTTTTGCCATTTTTTCAAATAGTTACATATGTTAAAGTGTTTTCATTCTAATGCACATGATTAATAAAGGTATTTAAGACAAATTAATTTGAAGAGATTAATGAAGTTACTAAATTATTTTAAACTATTTATGTTTATTATTTTTTATTTCTTCAAACTAATTTACCTCATTTATAAATTGACACATAATCTAATGATACACATAAGTATTGTAGAGAAATCATGTAACATATGCTATAATTAAATAATTTAATAACTTTTTAATCTCTCCAAATTAGTTAAATGAGTTTTATATTAAATACTAAAAGTAGTATTTATTACAAATAACTAATTTAGTTAATTTTTTTAATCGTCACAAATTAATTATTTAACTCTTATGTCAAGCATTGGAGGTACTAATTCATAGTTATCAGGCTATGAGCAAGTTGACGGTGCAATTAGCGTCATTCTGCATATGGACTTTTCACATGGTACAATGAAGTCTACTTTTTTGGCCACCGATAGAACAATAATTAAAGTCTACATATACAATATACATTACGTAAACATATTCTAACGTTTCTTTATTGGCATATACTAATATTTTGTATAATGAAGGGCTACGGATTGGCTTTCAATTTTCATACGCACAAGGCTCAGATTGAATCATTACTTGAAAGCTCGCGCTGAGATTCAATTTGAGCAGTCAATTATATATACAAACCCTGAAGGATTCATAGGGTGTGTGTGTGGAATCCTACAGGAGTCCTTGGTATGTTATGGAGTATATAGCTATATAAGAAAGAGGATTCTATATATCTCTCAAAAGATTCAGCTCCTCCATACGATAAAGGGTGCCTTAGGACGGCGGCTAGCCTAAGAGTAAAAGACAAAAATAATAACCAGTGCCCCTTTCTCGATCGGCAGTTCTGTGCAAGTACTTAAGATTTAAGAAGGAAGATTGGAAGTTCAAACGAATAATTAACTCGAGAGGCTGTGAGAACACTTTCTTGGCGATGTTGGCAGCTTTTTCCCAGGATAATTGTCGAGGATAAATGCTACATTATAGTAAGATTATAGGAGGATTGATAGGACAGCCCATTTTAGTCCCATGCGCATCTAAGTGAAAATTCCTTCCAACTTAATTTAATTCCATGTTTTGGGTTTTAATTTTCATGTTTATATTGATTATTTTGAGTATGAATTACTAGATTCTCAAATTATGGATATTAATGTTTTAACTGGAAAAGAATTTAGTTATGACTTCTACATTTTGCTTAACACGTAAGCACGAAGACAGATCCCAATGCTAATTTGAATCAACACCTAATTGATTTATTGAAGATGAAAATACTCAAAAAGAGTCTTCTTGAGACACTACGCCCATCTTAAAAGGAATCACAAACAAGACTATAGAACCCAATATATGTCAAACACATGACGCATTTTCTAACTGAAGCTAGAACTGAAACTCCATGTAAGAATCTTGTGTACGTAGTTCCACAACCCGTCCGGTGGAAGCAGAGAATCCAACCCTAACCCATTCAGGAAGAACAGTTCTCAAATCGACCGTAAAAGAGAGGCTAGTGGTTGTCACATTCACTTTGCTTTGCGGGTAAGCCAGAGTCACACTCAAATTCTTGGCATTAGGCTCATAGTTCACTGTGGCAAATCCTGTTAATCCGCTCTGAACATTAACACTAGGCAATGCCACGGTTGACACGGAAGCAATGGAGTTTATATCAATCCCAATATGCTGAAAGACTGGGTCCCACGAGTTCCCAAAGGTATCAAACGCGACAGCAACAATCTGATTCTTAAAGGTATTCAGAGCAGTCTCAGGACTGAAGAGTCCGAGATATCCGGCATTTGAGTTCTGTGGAATGTTGGAAGTGAATGGAGCTAAGAAGAAGGCGAATCCATCACCAAACGGTCCAGGGCTTGTAGGTCCCAAGACAAAGGAGAAAGTAGTGGTGAACCAAGCTAGCTTTCCTGTTTTAGCATCCCAAATCCGCACTGGTGCTGAGTAGGAGGCTCTCCCGGCTCTATATGGAAGAGAGCTTGTGAGTTGCAGAGAGTTGTTTGATGTAAAGGAATCGCCTTGGAAGATTATGTCATTGGGCGTGGAAGGAGAGAAATTGTCGAACTTGAAGGTAGCTGAATTCACATTGTGAGCCAGAACCAGGAAGGAGACGAAGATCATCACGAGAGCAGACATGGCGATTTGAGGCTTTGAGTTTGAGATGGCCACGTTTCTGATTTACTCACTTCAGTGGGCTGTGATTGTGAAGAGAAGATCTCAAAACTATATATGTGCAGAAAGTGTATCGATCTTTGATCCGTTTAAGGCCAGCAAGGAAAATAAAATAATAATGAAACTATACGAAGAAGCCAAATGACTTGCATTGTACAGTATGATATTACAACGATACAGGATGCTTGGAGTTAGTAGGGGTGATTTAAACGATGAAATTATGTCACCAGCCAAGTCAGCACATGAAATTTTCAGAAGCTTCTTGGAGGGCAGATCTATGTCATGGAGAGTTTAAAACAGCATATATGGGCTGTGCAATTGAATATGTGCCTATATTCGTCGATCTATTCGAATATACCGCGAGATTCTGAGCGCTTGTACTTCATCCAATAAAAAGGGAGCATATAGTATGTACGCAAATTGATCAATTCCATGGACTCGTATTTTATATCTTGGTAAACGCTGAGATTTAAAAGGGGCTTTCTTTTATTAGTTAGATTTCTCTTATCTCAGTTCTTAATATAAGAGTTAATTTTATTTTTAATTTTGTCTTAAATATAAGACCCCAATATATTTTGTCTTAGTTTTATTTTTAATTTTGTCTTAAATATAAGACCATAATTTATTTTGTCTCTTATATTTATCTATTTTTCCTAAGATAGTCCTTGTAATAATTGCTTATGTTAAACATTTCATTAAATGGTAATTCTAGCTAATACATGATTAGTAAGGGTATTTTAAGAAAAACAACGCATATTTATTACAAATAACTAACTTAACAAACTTTTTTAATCTAATCAAATTAATCAATTAACTCTTATATTAAGGATAAGAGATAGTAATTAATATCCTTCATAAGTGGATAATCGTTGGAACTGTAAAACTAAA